CAAATGGCCAAGCAGAACAGATGAATCGAGTAGTACAACACCTGCTTAAACATTATATCAAGCCAACTCAGGATGAGTGGGACGAGAAACTACCTCTCATCGCCAACTTGTATAACAACGATGTGCACAGTACTACAGGAAAGCCTCCCAACCAACTGCATCTTGGTTGGAAACCTAGAACTGCACTTGACTTTCTGCTACATCAAGCCGTTGAACATATCAAGAGAACCCACTGTAGCACCTGGCAGCATAGAGTTTGCTGTCAAATATGAACAAATGCTGCAGCAAGCCGTTGAACATATCAAGGAGTCTCAGGATGCAATGATCGCATCTGAGAATAAGCACAGACGGCCCTCTAACTTTCAGGTAGGTGATAGAGTCTGGGTTAAGTCATCTGAACTAGGTTAGGAGTTAGGAATTTCATGAAAATTAATGCCGCAGTACTTTGGGCCCTGGGAGATCTTGGACATTGTAGGGGATCAACCGGATGGGACTTCATTTGTGATTCGCATTCCTGCGCACTTACGTACTTACCCTGTGTTCCATGCCTCCAAGTTGGCACCTTTCACTGCCACTGATCAGTTCCCTCAAGAAGATCAATGCTGCCCCCAACCATGGATGGTGAAGTGGATATTGACGAGATCGTGGAACATCAAGTGATGCCAGTTCCTCGACCATCAGGCAGAGGCCGGCCTCCTAAGCCAAGAATGCAGTATCGTGTGAGATTCAGACATCATTTGGATCCTAAAGAAGATCGCTGGTTCACACGAGAGGAACTCGTGAGAACAACACCTCAAGTGATTGCAGGCTACGAAGGAGAACTCAAAGGGAAGATGCCTGCAGATTGACAGACTTCTCAGAGGACTAACGAAGTAAAGGAGGAGGGAATGCGAGGATCTGAGTCCTCGGCAGGCCTGAGGGGCCCCTGTTACAAGAGTGCCCGCCCTAAGTGAAGGCGGCCTTCTGGGCTTTTCCAAAGATTGCAGGCCCTGGGCGAGAATCGCAGCATCATACACTGACAGTTGGGAGGCCCAACCGAAAGAGGCCCAGTAGCTGCACACAAGCGCAGCATCCTGGGGCCTACCGGAAGCTTCTGGGCCCAGGCCCAGCCCAGCCAGGCTGCACGAGCAGGCCAGCTCTTTCCATATAGGAAAGAACTCTACCCAGCCAGCCTCATTCAGGCACTCGCATGCTAGCGGCAGCGCTGCTGGAGCAAAGGCTCGTGGGCCGCTGCTGGCGCTGAGAGGCGAGGTGCAGCACGTGCGGTCGTGCAGGGAAGAAGGGCACGGCTGAGGGCAGCGCCATAGCCCATCCACCATAGCTGGTGGGCTTGGACTACAGTGAGGCGCAGGGGTGGTCTTCGGGTGTACAACAAGGGAAGACGTGGGAGAGAGTCAAGGGAAAGAGAGAAGGATGATGATGATGATGATGATGATGATGATGTGAGGGCACATACCTGGTATTGGCGATGGTTCTGCATGGGCTACATCTTCAAGTACTTCGGGTGCTGCTGACGTCAACAGTTGCATTGCCAATTAGTAGGCTAGTAGTAGCTGTGTAGGGAGTAGGCTGGGCGCTGAGCGCCAGATAGGGAGATAGGGACTGGATACATATGTTGGTGGTGGTGAGAGCAAGCCCTCATTGACATTGGCTTTCATTGCTATTACTCTCCATTGGTGTCATATTGGTGCAATGCTACTCTCTGAACGCTGAGTTACGATTTGGCTTTCAATGTGAATGCTACTCTCTGAACACTGAGTTACGATTTGGCTTTCAATGTGATTGTGCAATCTGAATATTTTTATCTCGCTTCTGTTCATTTTCCTTGCAGTGGCATTTATAAAAAAGATTTCTGGAAAGATGGCTAAACAATCATTGTCAAACATGGCTATCTTCTGTTTTTTGGTCGGCGGCCGGTCATCAGAGTGGCTTCCTGGCTCAGAGGGTGGTGGGAACCGACAGTCTGCAGTTCCCCTACTTGTGGTGTGAGTAAGTGATGGACCGGTTTGGTCAGTGTTGTATGTGTGCAATGCCTTGTCTGTGCTCCTCCGTTGCTTTGCTGCCCATCCGCTGACCATGTCTTTCCTTGCAGCATGTCTGTTTGCGGTGTAGTTTGGCTGCATTCTCAGCGTTGCCTTGTGCTGGGCTGTGTCGTGGCCTTGCTGCCCATGTGCTTGCCTCGTCTTTCCATGCAGTTTGCTTGTGTGCCGTGTAGTTCAGCTGCTTTGTCAGCACTGCCTTGTGCCTCACTGCATTGTTGCCTTGCTGCCTTGTTCCTTAGCTGCCTGATGCTCGTAGTACCGCCGTCACTCTGAACAGGGGTTAAAGAGTTCAAGACTCAAACCATCAATATGGGGATTCTGCAGATTGTCGAGGGTTCAGCCTCTTGGCGAGTCGCTACAAGTCCGTCGAGACAATCTGTCATTAACCTTGTGTTTGTCTTTTCCCTGTATTGTTTGCTTTTTCAGTCTTGCACTTGTACTTTTTCCATCTTCTAGTATCCTTTTGTTGGGTTTGTTGTGTGTATTACTTTGAGGGTTGCCTTCTGACTGTACTCACTCAGATGTGTATTTTCCCCCTGAGGTGTTGCACTGGCATCTTGTGTGATCTTTTACCATGCTAACCTACAGTGTTTCACACACTTCTCCGCACACACACAGACACACACATACAAAAATGCATTCAAGTCATATATTGAGTTAGGGTGCATCCTGTAATCTTTGGCAGGTCCACCTTCAGCAACGATGTCGTCTGCAATTGGTCCAGGCCTCTTCGGTGGTAAAGCAGGAGACACATTGGGGTTCAATGTATGGCTCAGGGACGACTTTGGGAACCCCATCAACAGCAACAATCCATTCGCCGGAAGATTTGACGTCACCTTCATTCCGAGCCGCACAGCCAGAATCTCAACCAATAAGAATGCTGATGGGTCCGTAACAGTCTTCTACACGATAAATGTTGTTGGTAACTATTCTCTAGCAATTGGCCTCGGCAATCTGGCAGGGCCATTGATCAGCTTTGCCCCAGCAGCTCAGGGAGCCATTGTTATTACCCCAGGTTTGTTCTCAACCATGGAAAACCGGAAGGAGACAACGACAAACAAACAGAGAATTTCAAGGAAGGGAGGGATTGAAAAAAAAGGAAGGGATGGGATCTAGGCTGGTTTTCCATGCACCCTGGCACGAATGTTGTGGTCAGAGACAGCCCGACCACCTGGCCGAGCAGACCCAGCACAAAATAAAAAGATTCCAAAAATTAAAAAAGAGGTAAGTACGTTCATGTCACCACAGACTATCGAATGGGGAAAAAAAGCACGTGTCGGCAAAGAAAAACGCACCGAGTTCGAAAAGGCAACGGAAGTACCGACGGCCGTGGTGTCAGATCGGGTGTCATTTTTACAGGGGTCGGCCATGGTGTCAGGGAAAAAAAAAATTAAAAAAAATGCCCATTGGATACTTTTGGACTGTAGCGGACCCACCAGGTGTGGTGCTCCGCTAGTGGTAGAGATGGAGATGGAGGAAGAAGGGGGGGAGCGGGATGGCACAACGCAGCTCCCCACGCAAGACTCCAACGCACGTACTCCAAAATGTGCAAGTGAAGAATGAGCTCGAAAACAGACAAAGGCTGGGGTATACCCCAGCGGACTGACGGGACTGGACTGGATTGGCTGGTACCGACAGAGGTACCGACCTGGACTGGACTGCCCCGAATAAAACACAGGCCTGTGAGAACAGGCCAAGGGGCTGGTCTCACAGGCCCACCGGAGGTCCGCTACACGGACTGAAATCACTGATGGATCTCCTAGATACAAGCACGCTTCCGCCAAAAAGCGGAACTCTACCAAAGAAAAGAAACCTGAGTAGTCTAGGATCTATGTTACCGCGCGTTCATTGAACACGCGTTCCACGTTCAGTTTTTGAACGCTTTGAACGCGCGTTCAGTGAACGCCCCTGAACGCAGTTGACGCGTTTGCGTAGGGGTCTGTCGGGGCTTTGGGGGTGCCTCTGAGGCCGCTGGAGGGTCGCCGGTGCTCAGGGGAGCCTGCTGGGAGGTTGTAGTCCCGGAAAAAAAAAAAAAAAAAAAAAAAAAAAAA